CCCTCCCCCCCCCCCCCACCTTTAATAAAAGGTCTCCTATCTGCGAATTAACTGCCCCTTTTATCTGCTCAATGAGAAAACCGTTACGACGCTTCCCTTTCTTCCCCGCTCTTCCCCGGAGCCGATCGAGAGCTGCTACCTTCATTATCCTTCTTCCTCTCTATACCTCCTTTTACTTCCTTTTTCTGGTTCCAACTCCCCCTCCTCCTTCCCTTCCTCCCTTCACTCCTTTGCTCTTCGGAACTTCGCCCAGAAATATGTTGGAGCCGCTGATAAAACTAACGTTTTACTTCAATCGTGACAGCCCGTCATACCATCTCAGTCCTACCATAGGGGGCTCTCCTGGCCTACAGGTTAAGGTGTTGGCCTCTCATTCAAAGGCCCCGGGTTCCAATCCGGGTGACCACCCAAAATATTTTCTTGTCTAAAATTGTCTCCTTTCACCTCCTTTGCCCCTTCCTCTGGGCTCCTGACTCTTTCTGCAGCCTTTCTACTGCTACTCCTTGGCTCCTCCTTACTGCTGTCTTTCTGCCACACCCCTGATCTTCTGGCAGGAAAGATCTACACCTAGCCTTCTCGGACAAGGGCGAAAAAACTCGGAGGGCCCGTGTGCAATTTGGGCACGTTAAAGATCTCTTGGTGGTCTAAAAATCGATAAGAGTAGGCTTCGGCCGCCACCCGGGCAAAAAAAAATTCAAAATTTCCTACCAACTGAAACAATTTAATGTGGCCCGCTCGCTCTTGTATGACCTTATGCAGTTGCGAGCGCCGTAAAACACTTACCCTCCAAAAAGTCATACCATCATCGTTATACCATCACAGCCCTTTATACCATCACCCCGTCATACCATCACCGTCATACCATCATCGCCCATCAGAGACAAGTTTTTAAAAAAATTAAATTTCTCATGCCCCACCGTAGGCCTATATATAGACAGCTGTAGATTTGTAGCGAGAACCGCACGCAATCTTTGAACATCCGACATTTCCAACGTTTGTTGTTTGGTTTTGCTTTTCTTTCTTTTTTTGACAAACTTGAGTGCGAGTCGGGGAAAATCCTCCAATAGTTGGCGGCACACGAAGGTAAGCTCGTGTCTGTAACATTGGTAGTCGGTTGTGATGGTCGGTCCTGTGGCTATAGGATTAAGATTGGGGGGGGG